GGATCGCAATCCCGAGAGTTCCTCTCCCCGGGTTTGCTCTCGCGTAATTCGTCGCCGCAATCCGTCCTGTAATTCGTTCACGTGCGCGCCGTCCCTCGAATTGACATTCGTGTCTCGTTGCCGCTATAATACCGTAAAACGTTCTCCTCGTTCGCGCGACAAATTTCATGCAAATTCTGCATGCGCGCGCGGCTCTCGCGCGCCAGCAGACGCCCGTCGGCTCTGTTTTTCTCGCCGTAAAAGCGGCCGCGACGCGCGCGTTCACGGTGTGTTTTTCAATGAGGAAACGCGCGAGCCATTTAAGCGCCGCGAAAAGAAAAGCAACAAGTAAAAGAGGGCGAGACTTGTCCGCCACCTCCCTTCCCGCGCCGCCGCCGCCGCCGCCGCCGTCGCCGCCACCCCAAACCATGCCACCCCACGTACGTCAGCGCTTATTTGCACGTACGGGGTAACATCTCCGGCCGTACTCGCTTCTCTCTGTTGTTGTTAAGGTTGGCCTCGGATAATTGTGAAATGCGTACGATAAAATTCCCGCATGAGTAAAACAAGGCGCGATAAAAAAAATTGATATAATTAAAGTAAAATATAAAAAAGGAGAACTGAAAATAGATTGGCATCATGCCTTTGTGTTATGCAGTTTCGAGACCAGAATAATCCTGTAACGTTGTTAAAATTACACTGAGCAATAAAATATCAACTTTTTTTGTTTCAGAAGTTTCTTATGTATTTTTGACTGTTAAACACCGAATCTATAAAGCGTAAAATGTCTCTATCACGTTAGGATTTTGAGAAATCTGCTATGAAAGTTGCTAAAAATCACAATTTCGATATTTTTCGATAATTATTAACTCTCGACCGAGATGTGCTACAAACTTCCGCAAGGTTCGTATTGTACAGTTATACAGAGTGTCCCGAAATTCGCGAATCAAAATATCATAGCAAGAAAGTCTTCGAAATATTAAATAAGAAAGTTGTAAATTTTTATTTTAAGCAATAGTTCTTGAGATATAAGGATTTAAATTTAGCCAATTATAGATTAGTACTCGCGTGAAGTGCGCGACCACTAACACTACGATGCGCTCACGGACATGTTTCCGTTTAATCGTAATCTATAATTGGCTAAATTTAAACTCTTATACCTCAAAAACTATTGCTTAAATTAAAAATTTACAAATAACTTTTTTACTTAATATTTCGAAAACTTTCTTGCTATGATATTTTAATTCGCGAATTTCGGGACATCCTACAGCACGAATTTTTCATCTGCTCATCATCTACAGATTTTTATATTGCTGATGTGTATCGGATTTTTTGATAAATTGCACATCTTTTTAAATAACAGTAGCTGCTGCATTGACTTAAAATTACCTAATTCGTTGACATTTGATCACGTCGCTGCCATGTCCGATTACAATTCAGTTGCCGTCCTAAATCAAGTCGCGTGTGAATGGGATGAAAATTGAGTCGTGCATCAAACATTCGATATGCTGCACCTACGATTTATAATCGTATAGTCCTGGCGTCCCGTCTGGATTTGCGAAAGCACTGTTGCGGGATATGCTTTGCTTCGATCTATAAATTTATCGATACGAGTCGCATGTGCCTTCCAGAATTAATGTAACTCAAGAGTTTATGGCACACGTTTCTCATTTATTGGCAGCCGACGCGGTCACCTGGTGTATCGCGGCGCTCGGATCTCTCCCCGTATGAAATAAATACGAACAGCTGGGATTGAACCAGGGCAAAAAAAAATGCAGGCAGCCGTGGAAAGTATTATCTGATTTATACGGGTGATGTAAATGCAAGCTGCATGTTTAAATAATGTACGATACAGCGCCATAATGAAAAGCGCGCTCGTTGTTTCAAGCAACGCAGCTACAGTGAATTCAATTATATGGTGATCCCCGCTGCGATGAATCGTACATTTTTTATTAAACCGTGGTGGGAATCATAAATAATTATCATTACGAAAAATCGTAAGTACGCATAAATTCGAGCGACACGCAGAGCGGCACAGTGAAAACGTTCTCTCATCTTTCTCGTAATTCTTAATTTCTTTTTTTATACGAAAACGCGAAGAGAAATCCACGTTCTTCTTTTAATGAATAGGCAATCGGTGAAAAGAGAAACGGTGAAATTGTCACCGTCGCTACGGAATTGCGCTGTATCGACCCGCTCCGCCCGCTCGTAACAATCCTCCATAGGCTGGTCGGTAAATAGTAATTTTTGGAGAACGACCGCCATCGCCGCCATCGCCCACCATCGCCGTACCAAACCGCGCGAAACTTCGGTCCCGGGTGTATTTCCCCGTCGCGCGCTTTAGCCTGATGAAACTTTTCTCTCCCGTTCCACGTTTTTCCGCGTGCGACGGTACATTTTCCCCGAATTCGTCGGCGAACCGTGAACGATCCTCTCGTCCCTCCCTCTCTACGAGAGTTATACATCTCTCTCGTGGTGCTTCGACAATATTCGAAAGGAAGGGAACGGCAGGATACGGTGGTAGTAAAATTGATCATAAAGATGTACGCGCGATTAAATATTTTTTCGGCCGACCGGCGGGAAATGCCGGGATCGCGTTTGTCAACGTAACAGCGTTAAACGCAACTGTAAATCTAACGCGTTTTCAGGACGCGTTCGAGCGACTGGCCCTTTGATGTTTAGCGGCGAATCGTGTCGTTTGTTTCCCCTTCATCACAGTTTTTTTGTTTTTTATGGCCGGGATACTCGGCTGTCGTTTGCAACACTGCACTTGCTCGAGCGCGCTGCTCGCACGCGGACACGTACGGCCGTCGCTGTTGGAAACGCAGGCGAGTCTGCACGGTGCATTGTTGTATTTCCATGAACGGACGACGTTCGCAGTGAGAGAAATTTGAATATCAAATATCGAACTTGCGATGATTGACACACAGATACAAAATTTCATTGGCATAAAAAGAAAATTCAGTCGATATGGATTCAAGAATAAGATTGTCCATTTATCTATTTAACGAATCTTAAAAATAAACCGATTAAATTTATCTTCGCGCATATTTTTCGGAATTCTTCAATGAAGAATACGTTACGTATGAAGAAATAGGCGAGACAAACATGTACGCGGACTATATAAGTACATAACTTTTTGAATGATTATCTCGTCTTTGTTCCCGATTTTTTCAAAATTCAAAGGAACAATAAATTTGATTACGATTCTTTTTTCTATAATTGAGAATGATAAAATAGATAGAAATAAGAAAAATAATTAAAAAGATAATAGAGAGAAACAGAGGAGATAAAACTTAATTATATATTCTACAAAGATCTCGGATGATTTTATCGTATTGTTTATGATAGCGCTTGCACGTGTTGCACGGCGAAATACTCTTTATACCTGACGGCATTTAATTTTCTGAATTTATGTTACATTTAAAAATAGCAAAGTACTATTGTACTCTTGGGGGCAATTGCGATTACATGATTTTACGTTTATCCGTGAGCTGCTTCCCGCAACAATCACTTGCTAAAGCGCGATAAGAAAATGTATAATATATAAACATTTTCATATAATATTCAATATTTGAATATAAATATTTTAACAAGTTAATATTAACGTGCGTCTGCGTCTTTACAAAGCGTAATGAAACGTCCGTTTAAAAAGACGTAATGAACGCGTCACGCTCTTTTATTCATCGTCCAAGAGACAGCGGTTCTTAGTATTTCCCAGCACGCTGCACATTGTCCTGTAAATTTAACTGACAACTCAGGGACGATCTTAATATGGTATAATTTCCTTCTTTTTTTTTTTATTTTATTAAGCGAACACCGTGGAATCAATATATTCACTCGCGCAAGAGAGGTGTTCGTGATAATTGAAATATTGTCGGGGCGGATTAAAACTCGAGCAAGGTCTTGAATAAGGAATTTATATTCATTCATAATAAATTAATAAGCAATTGAGCAGAACATAATAGCGTGAATAGCGCGGCAAGTATCCTTCATAATTCAAATATTTGACACTGAAATTACGGAAAATGCCGTTCGCGGAAACCGAGTTCGCGGGTCTATGGGCAGCAATTAGACGACGTAATAACGCGCGCGCCGAAATGAACGTGGAAATTATTTTCGGAAGAAAGACGTGGAATCCGTCGTAATGCGATAGCAAACTAGTTAGGAAACTAACCTAGTTTATTATCCCTAGCCCGAAAATGTGTGCATATATTAATTCCGTTCTATAATACTGACTGAAAAAGGCACTGCGATCTTCAAATAAAGCTCGCGCATGCGATGTTTAATGCAAGAGTGTATTTTTCACTCGAAAACTCCTTCCTCCTATGTGTACTTCCGTTATGCGCCTTTTTCGCGAGTTTTATTAAAGCGATGGACATTTGGCTGCGACGGCGGTATTAAAGTGGAGAACTTTGCTGGCGGTGTAAGTCGGCTTTTACGCGGTCGGGTTTCTCCGTGAACTCCAATTACGATAGTAATCCTTAATATACGTTCGTCTGCCGTACGGAGCTTCTCTCGTTCCATTGCGCGCCTACCAAGTTCTCAAGCTACCTGCTGCTTTCATTCTAAATTGGCGTGTGCAATTCTTAATCCTAAATCTTAATCCTTAAAGCAGGGAAATTAATTGTGGAATACGATTGATTCGCAAATCTGTTAAGGAATATCCGAAACATCCTTTTTTCCTCTTAAAATCACTTTATATAGCGGTATACGCTGTTTATAACAAGAGAACTATACGGATATAAATTGGAGAAAGATTAATATAATTTGTAAGAGATTCTTATAGCGATTAATATCGTGTGCTTTTATTTCTTTATATGCTTTTCGGAAATATCGAGTCGTCGAAAGCTCCTTTGATAGATTCCTATATCGATTAATAGAACGTAACGTTGATGTAGGTAATTTTTCATGCGATACTGCATACCTTCACGCGCCGCAATCGCGGAGCATAGGGACCAGCGAACTTCGGAGCAACGGAAGAAAAGGAATTTCATTTGTGAAACTCAAATCGAGCTTACCCAGGTCTATTTAGAGATGTTTGAAGTTCCGGGCGTAGTAATATTTCGTGATTCTATGGGGCATTCGCGGCGGAGCATGCACGCGAGCCTCGCGCTTTAAATTATCGTCCGCCCGACTCCCTCGTTGAATCCCTCTCTGGCTTTCCGTCCTGCGACAAAAAAAGAAACGAAAATGAAAGGACGTAACATTTCGAGTGCGCTTGACACACAAGAGGGTGAAGAAGAAAGAGGAAGAAGGCGAAAGAACCGCACTAATTACTTTGGTTTCAGTCGACAATAAAGCACCCCATACGCGCGTCATAACGCGTTGTTGGAGCTTATCGTCGGATTCGTTAGTTTCAATGGCGGTTAAAATGGCGCACCGTTACGCCAAGCCGCGTATCTCAAAGTAACGTCGCTGGCTCGCGGAGAGCTCGCTTGAAATTTCAGCAAAGCGGCAAAGCGAAATGCTTCAACGTCCGGTTCCCAATTAGTACGCGGCGTACGACGAGAAATATGATATTGATTCAACGCTCCCGGGCTCCCGGCAATCTTTCATTTTGCATAAATATTTACGTACGTACGCGCGGGTAACATGTAACCAAGATGCATCGCGAGTATCGCGACCATAATCGAATCACTGCGAGAATCTCGGTAATTAAAGTTACTTCAGCGACATAATAAGCTGCATAACGCTGTTCAATAATAAGAGATTCCTTATAATATTACTAATTAACGATACTTTTTTATTAAATAACTCTAATTGGATACGGACATTTTACAATTAGTACGGAGTCTCAAGAGTAATCTAATTATTTACTACGGTGATATATAGTGATATGTAATACGGAATACAATATAATATGAAAGATATGTAAAATATATGTGCGTGTGTGGGAGTACTTTTATTATAATATACCTCAATTCCAAACACAATAGCTTTGTCATGGTACTATAACGGTATCTTTTTCATTATAGTATAGCTTTTGTAACATCACGGTGCATTATTGCACTTGTCGAAGAGTCGCCGGTCTATTGCGAAGTTTATACAAGTTCGTCCGTATAACGTCAACATTCAAGATTTATTGCACACTTAATACACAAAATCGATTTCCCATAAATCAAAGAATATTAATACAAGTCACGTCAATGAATATTACTTTTCGATGGCGCGTGTCGATCACTCTAGCTGAAGTAGTTGAGTTCCGTGGTTGAGAGGCATCGTTGAGCATGTAAAATTACACGGTGGAATATATTTTCCGTTTTAATGACTTCATTTTAATGATCGGTGGATGCGGACGGAAAAGTTTGGGGCCATATTATCATCGGATTAAAACCTGCGTGTTCCGGTGTATAATTGCGGTGCGGAACGTTAACGAAACATGAGGCAGATAAAGACTCGTTTGATCATAATTACGAAATAATCTTGCGCTAAATTATTTATTTGAAAGCCGCAACGTTATTTTGCGTTGCAGCTTGAAGTTTTGGTAAATATATAACGGTAAATATATAACGGTTTGCATTTTACGAGATAATTATAAACATTATATATACTCTTTGTATTTAATTACATATGTAAATAGAAGTTCGCAAATTGCATTTAAATTTGAAATACACATGGAATAATTCACTTTATCATAACTGGTCTCTTTTAGTAATAACCAATTTTCACTTTCTTCGAACGACTTCACGTTAAGCATCTATTTTAACTTGATCGTTCTTCCGAAGCTTTTTAAAATTTCCATAAATCGATAAAATCGGATAGAGAGCATTAGCATTTTTTTTGTTTCTCCGTAGGATGCAAACTTCTATCAAGAGCGATTTACAAACTCTTTCAGTTATTGACTTTCTGAAACTTGATTGAAATTTTTCAAAACAAACTTCTCGAAGGATCCTTAAAATTCTTAATCCACGGTACTGCTTAAATATTACTTATTTTGAATAATGCAATTATATATATATATATATATATATATATATATATATATAACATTAGGTATAATTATAATGTTAATTATAACATTACAAAAGCGATGTCACACATTTTCTTTAACCATATAAAAAGTATCTTTGAGATAATAGAAAAATGCAAAGGTTCTAAAAATTCATGTTCTTTAAAATAAAAATTTTATGAAAATTATATTATTATGTAGAGATTATAAAGATATAATATCGGGACGCATAAAGGATGTATTTTCTAGCAAAACGCAATAATTTCTTATTCGTGTTAGATTATATATAAATACCGTTAATAATATAATTACATTTAGCGATATTACAATAATTTCACTCGATGGAATCGTGTTCGTTAATTCGATATCAATAGTTTCGCCCCAGTTTCACTCGATCCCTCCATAATTTTTGATCGTCGGGCAAAACTTATCCGGAAATTGCCGCCTTCCTACTTTGGGAAGGGGCAAACCGAATCCGGATTGCCGGGTTTCCGTGTTCGGCGAGACACTGTCGAAATGGCTTTTTATCATCCCATAACGTTCGCTTTTCAACCAGGACGATTTGATAGGACAGTCAAGAGGGTAAAAAGAAATTGGGGGATGATTGTATCATTCGGTTAAATCGCGACGGAAGAGATTTAAGAATCGCGCGACAATTCTAATTCTGGCACGAGAAGCACACTTGAATTTTGTGACAATCATGTAGTATGTATATAATGCGATTCATATTTCTGATTTATATTTAACCCATTCATTTTTTACATTCAGTTGACATCGGCAAGGCTTATTCACGCACTTTAGATATTATTGATAAAACCATGATAATAAATAAATAATGTAAAACAATGATAATAAAAGATATTGCGATTTGAGATAATATAAAAATGGTACACGTTTAACGTTATCTAACATATTTTAGACAAAATAATTTTATTTGAGATCTTAATTAAACAAATTTAATTATTATTAATTTTATAATTAAAAATATATACTTATTTTAATAGATTTTAATCTATTTATTCTGATAAATATAGATAATATATAAAAGTATTCTTTTTATTTCGAATTATAATTTAGAAAATCGAGAGTATTAGACATGTTGCAAAATATTAAATAAAAAGAAAAAAGTTAATTCTCCACAGCTATCAAAATTACTGTATTTGTAAATTATTTACCATATTGACAAAAATTCGTATCAAGTTTAATTTTTTACAACGGATGAAGTTTTCAGCAAATTGCAAAATTTAATAAACGTAACGTGAGATTAGTTTGCTTCCCCAGTAGAATTAATTTTTCACCATAATACGTATTAAGCAAAAAAAAATTACATTTAAAAAGATTCTTCCTTATCTTTTATTATGCTTGAAAAGATGCTTAAATAGGCGAATTTGATGTAACATTTGTCGGTGGCAGATTTGCTGCCTCTTTCGGTAGGCATATGGTCAGTAATCAATAGAGCAAACTGTTGATTCTGGCCCGGATGGCTGCGGATTTTATGGCGGCGCGAGGCGAACTGAATACACCAGAGGAATCAATCGATCTCGGGGTGCTATCGATCTGTTTGTACAGGAATACGGGGAATGTTAAATAGAAGGAGGAATGCAGAAGTTCCAGTCAATAACGATTATTAAATTATTTCATTTTCTTCTTCGGAATAAGCTCTAATTTCATTTATGAACATTAATAGGTTTTACATAATAATGCGGACATTTCATTCACTTACGTATACGCGCGTATAATACTTAAACTTATTGTTAGAAATCAGAAAAAACGACGACACCTCTGAAACGCAATATGTGCAAGTCTCTCCTTTCTTTTTAAATAAAAAGTATTAAATAATCCGTTAATTAAAACAATTCGATTTCCGATACCAGAAAGTGAGGAAACATATGTCAGAGCAAATTAATTAATTAATATGCAAATACGTACGTTTAAGTATAACAAAGTTACACGTAATTGTGCACGCAACTTCTGACCTTTCGACAGGATGTGTAAACTTACTCGAAACCTATAAATTTGATTAGCACATGATGAGGGAGAGAGAGAGAGAGAGAGAAAGCGAGAGGATAATATCATCACTAACATAATAATTGTCTTACGAGAAACTTCATGTTTGACATAACAATAATCTAAATATCAAATAGCACCCCAATAGTATCCAAATAACAAAACAATTCATGAGTAAGCAATTATTAATGTATAATATCGCTATTTTAATCTAAAAAATTATTGATTTTAGTATCCCTTTAAAAATAACGAATTTCTGCTAATTTATTATGTGTTTAAGTATAAACTTAAATATCTTAATGTCGAATTTGACAGATGCTTTGTATACACACGCACGCGCATACCGTACAATGCTACCCTCGAATTAATTACGCGCGCGAATCGTCCCGCCTGAATAAGAATCGCCGCTTAATTCGTTCGTGTATCTCAGCTTGAAAGTTCCATCGTTACACTTTTTCCCGGTCACGACCGTCTTCTCCATGGGCCCGCGGATAATCCTCTTGCAAGAAAGAAAAGCAGAGCCCCGATATACACCCTCACACAAATCCGCTTTCTCTCTTCGGCCGTTCCTTCGAACACGAATATTCCGGTCGCAGTAGCAACATCTCAATTGCCTCCTCTCTTCCTCTCTTCGCTATAAATACTAGCTCCATCCCTCGTTAAGCCGTAATTGTACCGAGTCTTCCACGAGGAAGAAAGATCCCGGGACAGTTATGTGCCACGTAAGGAGATGCATGGAAGACTACTAGTGAATAGTCGATCGAGATATATCAGTTTAATTCTGTTGCTAAATAAAAATACTTTTATTTCGTTATATGTATTTTTTATTCAATTTCTAATTAAATTAAATTAAATATTTTTTAAAACCATCACATAAAGAATCCATATTTATTCAGATTTTTATTAATTAAAAAGAGAAAGTTTGTCACGTCCTTTTCATGAATACATGTAAAATCAATAAGTATTATTAACGATATACTATTGACTGATTTGACATTTCTCTTTCCTCTCCCCAACTTTTTACTCACTTTCGATTCGAAGACGTCAAGCAATTGCGTGTCTTCGCGATGAAAAATCGCAGTTTAATTTTTACGGGACTTTTCGTGAAATTGAGATGAGATATCGCCCATTTCCCTCCCGTGTTTTCACCCCACATTGGTTGGGGAGATTCGACGAGCAATACCCCAAAGTCTCGACGTGCCTTCGTCGTG